ACTGTGATACATCGCTCCATGAATAGTTTTCCTTGGAGGGCAGATTTCTATAATGTTCCTGAGGGTTGAATTCTAGCAAGTTCCACTAAAGTAAACTACCGTTACTTTCCTGCTAACAGCAGCCATGGCATAAGCTTGGGAGCTTTGCCCCAGAGGTAATGCTTACTTCTTATCACTGTCACTCCTCTTTCTTAGCTCTTTCTTATTTCTTACTAGCAAGTTCATCATGACTTCAATCTCTTTCTATAGGTAATAATTTTTTATATCAGACTTTCCCTATCCAAATTCCCTATGGTTTTTTTTTCTTCCATTGATTGTATTAGACTGATACATTGATACATACTCCCCTACTCTCTTTCTGCTTTCTGACAATTTAATTCATCCTTTAGGTGTTAATATCATCTCTTCAGAAAAGTTCTCTCTGAAATGCCACAAAAAAATAGATACTCTATTTTTCCATCTGCCACAGTTTAAAAATCATGTACATATTTGCATTATTACCATGTGTCTGCCAACACCACCCCACCCCACTACATAATAAGTTCTAGTAGAATAGTGATCATGTTTATTTCACTTACTACTATAGTCCCAAGGTCCATCAAAATATCTTATTCTGTGGGTTATCAAATTAAAAGTATTTAAGTTTTAACTGCTGCTGATAACAACAACAACAACAAATGCTTAATCCTTCTTCACATGAGTTGACAAATTTATGACAAGGTAAGGTCCAAATGAAGATATTAAGCAATGAAGGAATAGTCCCAAAAGAATGGTACAAGTATACATCAGAGACAGTAATTCAGAGATAGTCAAGAAGTTCATGTTATTTATTTGTGGTAGCAGAATCAAAATCAGGACCTCTTATATGCAGGTAAGTGTTCACTGCTAAGTTATAGCCTCTGCCCCAAGAATTGTGTTCTTAAAAGATTTTGCATTTTTGTGAACACTCTTAGAAATTGTTTCTTACCTTTTAATTTTGTTCATCATTATCAGTGGGGAGGAAGATGATACACCAGAATAAATTGCTTATTTTTTAAAGAGAATTTCGTAGGCTTATAAAGAGTCATTAATATGTCTGAGAAGGTTGACAAGACTAGCATATTTTTATTCTATTCATCTATTTCTTTTTTGGAAGGTGCGTGATGTTTGACCACACCTGACTGTGCTCAGGGCTTACTCTTGGTTCTATGCTCAGGAAACACTCTTAGTGATGCTTGGGTGTTCATATGTGGTGTCAGAATCAAACCTGGTGAACTGCATGCAAGGCAAGCACTTATCCTTGTAGTTTCTCTCTGGCCCCTAATTTATGTTTTTGAAAGTAAACATAACAAATTGTAAATTTTGAGGGAAATACTCATACTTCTTTCTCTAGGCCAGAAATTTTCTGATTCCATGCACTTTCTTTAGGGTAGACTGGTAAGGGTCTGTTGTTATCTATTTATACATATGATGAAACACTGACTCGCAGTGCTTACTATTGTTGACAAATAGCAGAATTATGTATTCTAGGGTATGGAAAAGCTAATAGTCACAACTTTCCCAGTTTCTTCATCTGGAAATGAGTTGTACCGCACGCTCTTAGATCTCTTCCTAGACATGCACACTTAAATATCAGTCGAGCAATGATTCCCAGGGTCAAGTATGATGCCTGGGGGTATGGTGCAGCCAGCAGGTCAATCTGAACCTGTGAGGGGAGTGCATCAGCAGCCTCATGGCGCCTTCAGACTTCCAGATACCCCAAAATTGCTGCTGTGCCTTTGGCCAGACCCCCAAAACTTGGGGCAAAGTTTACCAAGAAAGTAAACGGCCAAAAGTTAGGTATATGGGAAACACACCCACAAACCACCTCCGGCTCAGCTATATAATTGGAGGCAAGGCCTCTTTGGTTCCTGATTGAACTGCTTAATGGCCATGATCCCAGAGACTCAGAAACGAATCTCGGAACCCAGTGGCTTTAGGTAGAAATGTGTCTTGTCCGTGCAGTAGGCTACCGGTGCTGGGCCAACCCAGGTGGGAATAGGTTTTGTGCCTTGGCCATTCCCACTGGCGGCCCAGTGGCCGCCATCCTTCAGGGTCCACTGGATAGTCACATTTGGGCCCCAAGTGACGAGACACACAGGGCCTCATGGGATGGGGGTGGAGCCGGGCTTGTCCTCCCCACCCCAACGAGACCCCAAGTCATCGCCCATGAACGGCCTCTCTGGCTCCTGATCAAGCTGCTTAACAGCCATGATCCCAGAGACTCAGAAACAAATCTCAAAACCCAGTGGCTTTTGGCAGAAATGCGTCCGGACCCCACATTGTTGTCCCTCCGCCTGCTCCCTCTTGGCGGCTTGGTGGCCACCATCCCATCCTGCAGAGGCCATTGGACAGTCAGGCTTGGGCCCACAGTGACAAAACTTATTAGGCCTCACGGGATGGGGGGGGGAGCCGGGCCTGTCCTCCCCACCCCAACGAGATCCCAAGTCATCGCCCACGAACGGCCTCTCTGGCTCCTGATCAAGCTGCTTAATGGCCTTGATCCCAGAGACTCAGAAACAAATCTCGAAACCCAGCAGCTTTTGGCAGAAATGTGTCCGGACCCCGCAGTAGGTTACTGTTGCCAGGCCATCCCAGGGGGGAAAAGGTGCTGTCCCTCCGCCTGTTTCCTTCTGGCGGCTCTGTGGCCATCATCCTCCAGAGACCATTGAACAGTCAGGCTTGGGCCCACAGTGACGAAACTTGTTGGGCCTCACGGGATGGGTGGAGCCGGGCCTGTCCTCCCCACCCCAACGAGACCCCAAGTCATCGCCCACGAACGGCCTATCTGACTCCTCATCAAGCTGCTCAACGGCCATGATTCCAGAGACTCAGGAGCAGATCTCGAAAGTCGGTGGCTTTTGGCAGAAATCCCTCCAGATTTAAGTGTTAAAATTTCGGAATTTCAAAATCCCACAGCCACTACTGCAGCCATGCGACATCATATGTTATTCATAACCAGCAATAGAAAACAAATTGTCTACTGTTGCCTTTTCAGCAGATCTGAGTGTTGGGATAAAATCCCAAATAATAATGGTGGGTCTGGTGTCAAAATATTGAATGTGATCAAAGTAGAGAGAGAGTAATATGGAAATCATCTGCCCCACAGATAGGGGGAGGGAGTGGGATAGGGGTATACTGGGGTTTTTGGTGGTGGAGAGTGGGCACTGGTGAAGGGATGGGTGTTTCATTGTATGACTGAGACTTAGACCCAAAAGCTTTGTAACTGCTCTCACGGTGATTCAATAAATAAAATTATAAAAAATGAAAAAAAAACGTAAGGTGGAGTTCGTGCACAATTCAATCAGCTAATCAGTGGCTGAATAAATAGCAGTACTCCTACAAAAAAAAAGTATGATGCCTGCTAAAGTCTGTGATTGTTCAACATATCACTGGATGTGTAAACTTTATTTAATATATACTTAGGATTAGCATTTTGACATGAGAAATGCTTATTAAGGTTTTGATTATTAGCCTTTCTTGGCCACATAATTAAACCTTCCTGTGCTCTAACTACCTAGACAGAATAAAAGATATAAGAGTACCGTATCGACCATATGGAGTTTTATTCCATCGCTAAACATAATCTAAATGCTCTGTTAGGCACTGGGAGAGGCACTAAGGACATAGAACTAATACATCATTCCTGTACCCTACAAACTAAGGGAAGTAGAAACTGATGCTTCAAGGGTCAGTTAGAAAAGCATTGTGGGGACTGGAGCTATAGTACACTGGGTAGCATGTATGCCTTGCATGTGGCTGACCTGAGTTTGATTTCCAGAATCCCATATGTCTCCCGAGCACCGCCAGGAGTAATTCCTGAGTGCAGAGCCAGGAGTAACCCCTGAGCATGGCTAGGGGTGTCCCGAAAAAAACAAAAAAAAGAAAAACATTGTGGTCAATCACTTACAAATTACAACATACTGGTAGTTTTTCACTCCTTCCAGTAAATAAAAAAAGAAATACATTTCAGAAAAACTAAGAAAAATGGAGCTTATTCAAGAGGTGTGGGGTCAAACAAAACAAATTGAGGGGCTGGAAATATAGTGCAGCGACTAGGGAGTTTGCCTTGCACATGACCTTAGCTGGATTCTGTCGCTAGCAACACATAAACTCCTCTGAGCACCGTCAGGAGTGATTCCTGAGTACTGAGCACTTCTGGGTGCCCCCCCCCCCCCCGCACCGCCCCCACCAAAACAAACCGAAAGAAAAGAGCGACTACCAACAAAAAAAAAACCCCACAAATTGGAAAAGCTGAGCCAAAGATTTGCCTGACCCAAGGCAAAAGAAAACAGAAGAGGAATGCAAAGAGGGGAGATAGGTTTGTTGACGAAGCTCTGAAACACAGTGTGAGTTTGAAAACATCAAATTTATAAACAAATTGTCATTGCCAGACATACGGCAACAGAAAATAGTTTTGTAAAGCAGCTTTCTGGTGTTAACTGGATACATTTCGTGTGCTTTAATTGCGATGTAGCCAATTCAGATCAGAAACAAACCAAGTTTTAGGAAAGGGATCCTTAGATACAGACTGGGAATTCTCACTAGCAACTCCCCTTTCAGCCGCTCAATTGGATGGTTCAGAAGGGGAAGTCGGCCAGATTTGACATTTCCAATCAGGAGATTTTAGTTATTTTAGGAGGACGCCTCTCCACCAGGCCAAAGAGTACAATCTGCCTTCCTGCAGCTTTCCAGCTCGACCAACAACAGCGCCACAGCGGGGCTGGGCCAGAGGAGCAGAGGAGGGAGTGAGAGGGGCGAGGAAACCAGGGGTAGAGGGTGGGAGGGCGAGGCTGTGTGCCTGCCAGCCAATCGTCGCCTCTGTCTCTTCGCAGACGCCTCTATGGAGAAAGCTAGATTTCCATTGGCTGATCCGGGGGGCATGGTCTGCTTCCAATTGGCTTAAAGAAGGGGGCGGGAGGGAGGCGTGTCCTGACGTCACGCCCGCCCCAAAGTCTCCTTGCACCTCAAGATCGTGGGAGGGTGGGGAAGTAGCGGAGGAAGAAAATAAGCCCGAACGACCTTGCGAGCCTGGGCGGACCCCATTCCAGAGCTGGGGGGTCTCTTCTCCGCTCGCCGGGCGAGCTCCACCCACCTCCCCTCCCGCTCCGAGGGATCAGGTGACCGGCGGGCGGCGTGGTCACGTGACGGACGCGCCCGCCACTTGCGGCCATGGCGGCCGCAGGCTCGGCGGTGGTGAAGCGAGTGGAGGAGCTCGGGGACCTGGCTCAGGCCCACATCCAGCAGCTTAGCGAAGCCGCCGGCGAAGACGGTGAGAGAGAGGCGGAGGGGGAGGCGGGCGGGCGTGGGGCGCTGCAGGGCCCAGGGGCTCGCGGCGATCCCCAGACCCCCCACCCCCACCCCACCCCTGCCCGAGCCCCGCCGCGCCGCGGACGCCGCCTGACTGGGACTCGCTCGGCCTGCCTGTCGCGCGCGCGCCCACTGCGAAGCCGCTCGGGCTTGGGTTTTTGTTAGTTTTTTTTCCTCATTATCCGTGAAAACCGTTTGCATCGTGGCTCGCCTTGTCTCGAGTCGCGATTGTGGAAAAGGGCCAAATCTGGACCAAAATACTAATTAACAATAATAATAATAATAATAATAAATGCACCGGCACGTCTGAGCCAAGCTTGGGTGGAAGCGGAATGCTCCGACGCAGAGGGGCAGCCGGGGGCGTTGGCACGGACCTGAACGTGCTTCTGGGTTTCTAACTGGAAACCGTTCACCCGGAGAGCTCTGCGTGAGTTTCGCTTCTCACTTGGAGTCTCACTGTTGGAAAGCTGCTCTTTGAAAACACGCTTGGCAAAGCCTGGCAAGCTACCCATGGCGTATTTGATATGCCAAACACAGTAACAAGAAGTCTCAAAATGGAGACTTTACTGGGCCTGCTTGAGCAAATTGATGAACAACGGGAGGACAGTGTTTTTTGTTTGACATATAGTCTGTTATCTCACTCTGCCCAAAAGGTATGTCATGAGTTTATGCGTGACAGTCCTTCACTAGGGTGGTTCAAATGGTCTAGTAAATTCAGTGCTAGTACATAATAGAGGTAGATATGTATATATATATATATATATATATATATATATATAGATAGATATAGATGTATATAATATATATGAGTATTATCTCACCCTTCCCCTAATAATTATGTCATGAGTTCATATGAAATAGTGCACCACAATAGTGGTGCACAAATAGTGCTAGTACATATATATAGCATTGTCCTCCTGTTCATCAATTTGCTTAGGTGGGCACCAGCAACACCTCCATTGTGAGACTTGTTACTGTTCTTTTGGCATATCCAATACGCCACAGGGAGCATGCCTGCCAGGCTGCCGTTTCGGCGGGATACTCTCCCTAGCTTGTCAGGCTCTCTAAGAGGGATGGAGGAATAGAAACAGGCAAACGCCCTACCCGCTGTGATATTGCTTCAGCCTGTGTGTGTGTGTGTGTGTGTGTGTGTGTGTGGGCGGGCGTGCGCACACGTGTATGTATATACATGTGCAAACACATGTATGTAGAAAGAGAGAAAGTGCTATTATCTCACCCTTCCCCCAATAATTATGTCATGAGTTCATGTGAGATAGTCCTTCAGAGTGGTTTAAATGGTCTCGTGAATTTAGTGCAAGTGTTTGCATTTAAAATAATTCCTTAGATTTTCAAGAAGGTATCAACTAAGTCTCTTAAGAAGCACTTCGTGCCATCTTCCATGTACAATTTTAGTTCAAAGGTTCACAGTATAACCCTTTTTTCCTGAGTTCTGTGGACACCTCTGGGCTGAGGAGAGGCTGGAGGGCACAAACTACAGAAGAAGCCTTTCATTTAAGTGAACAGTAGACTTCACAAAAGTCAGTGTCTGACCTAGATACAGGTAAGGCTTCTCCTGGGGAAACTTGAGCTCCTCTTATTGTGATTGACAACAGACATAACTTAAGCTGGTGGTGCTTTTTTGCCCCAGATACTTATCTCTTTGTTACATCATACCTATATAGTCTGATAGATATTTTATGATGCAAGCACAGAGGGAGTAACTCAAGACCTTTAGCATCTTGATGTTGGACACTTAAATTTGACACTTCATGAGGTGATACAACAGGTTGAATAGTATCTTTGTATGGGCATTTTGTACATTAGAGAGGAAAAATACTCAAGAAAAAGTGAAACTATAGAAGCAAACGGTAGAGAAGGGGAACATGTTACCAGCCTGTGTAGTATGGGGAAGGAGGGTGAGTTATTTTTAGAAGGTACATGATAAGTATGTGATTCAATTTTTCCAGATTTTGGAGGAATGTAGTTTGCATTTCTTGGTTTCTAAAGAAATGAAATATGTTGAAGAGTTTTAACAGCTGTTTGCACACAAATACATAAATATCATGATCACGATCGTCCTGTTGTTCATCGATTGCCTCGAGCAGGCACCAGAAACATCTCCTTCCTAGCCCTGAGATTTTAAAAAAAGCCATATTCAGTGTTCTTTCAGGGTTAGGAGAATGAGACCCTTCGTTGTTACTGGTATTTGGCATATTGAGTACGACACGGGAAGTTTGCCAGACTCTGCCGTGCAGGCAGGATACTTTCGGTAGCCTGCCGGGTTCTCCAAAGGAAAAATGAGATAATAAGATGTCGCGCGGCCACAAGTGTGGCCCTGTGCTTCCGGGAGCTGGGTTTTATAGTCTCTGGGACTTGGCCATTGATGGGACCAACCTGGCGCTGGCAGCAACTGGTGGGTGTGACGCCTACCTACTGGAAGATGGGGGATCTGAGTGGAGAAGGCCCCATCCCAATCCGGGCAGGCTTGCAGATCTCAGCCCCGGGACCTGCATAAATATATGTGATAAGTATGTGATTCAATTTTTCTAGATTTTGAAGGAATGTAGTTTGCATTTCTTGGTTTCTAAAGAAATGAAATATGCTGAAGAGTTTTAATAGCTGTTTGCACACAAACGCATAAATATAATTACCATTTTTATAATTGCTCAGTGTCTATATTTTATGAGACAGATTTAACCAATTGTGTTATGAAAATACATTTATGAAGTTTCAAGTTTTCACTTGAAACTCTTGGTGTATGTATATCATTGGAACTGTTACAATAAAAGTTGTAAGTTTATATTTGCTTGCATCATCAACATAAATAAAGCATTATTGGGGCTTGGAGAGCAATATTAAATTAATTAAATAAAAAGCCCTCCCGTTGTTCATCAATTTGTTCGAGCGGGCCCAGTAACGTCTCCATTGGAGACTTTGTTGTTACTGTGTTTGGCATATCGAATACGTCATGGGGAGCTTGCCAGGTTCTGCCGTGCGGGCGAGATACTCTCGGTAGCTTGCCAGGCTAGTTGAATATATGATTTGCATGTACAAGGCCCTGGATTTAATCATAATGTGTTTGTATCCAAGTAAAGAAGCAGTAGCACTATAAAAGCATGGATTTCATTTAAGATATAACAAGTGAATGTAGAACATTTCTGGTTTAGCTTTCTGAAGTACATTTTATATGATACATTTGCTAGAGTATGATTAGGCATTATGGTATGTTTTATATTGTACAAAAGATATTACTACGATGCTGTTTCTCCAGTATTATAACATTTATTTCATCATTTCAGTCAAATTACTTTTTTTGTTTTAATAGCACTTTGGAACTATATAAAGTAGTTACCGTGTTTCTCTCTCTTTTACAGATCACTTTTTAATTCGGGCCTCTGCAGCTCTAGAAAAATTGAAACTTTTGTGTGGAGGAGACAAAGAATGTTCAAGTCCATCAGATCTTCTAGAACTTTATACACAGGTATGAAGTATGTGATTTCTGATATTATATGGACAAGATTGCTTATTGAAGTGATTACTCCAAAGTTTAGGTATAATGAAATCTATATATTCTCTAAAGTGTTTTATCTTAAAAAGCTGATGGTTTAAGGCATATAGACTTGAAACACTGAGGCAGTATGCAAACATTTGGATCTACTGATTTTTAAAAGGATCAAGGAAAGCATCTTCCAGCTGACAGAATTGTTTTCCTTTATATGCAGTTAAGTAAAACATTGATACTTATACTCCTGAACTCTTGAGGATATTTAAGAGTTGGCATGGAGGGCTTGATAGGACCCTGAAATTCAGCTTTCATTCGGGTTTTCAATATGACTCCTTTTGTTAGTGCCTTGCAGATGTAAAGGATTTTCTGTTCCCCCTTTTTCTTTTCATTCAAAATCAGGTCTTTTGTGGTAAAGCATATTCTTGGCTTTCACAATCCCTGAGTGAGGGAAGCTGACATTAAAAGAATAAGACATCATACTTGTTTTTAATTCTTATTATCTACCATTTTTATTGAAGTACTGGGATTTAAATACTGTTAGTCACACTTTTTATGCATGCAGCTTTCCAATACCAAGTCCATCCCCAGAGATCCTGCTTCCTAGCACCAGTGTCCTAAGGACCCCTCCTACCCCTCCAACCCATGTAAGCTGATTTTGATAAACAGGCTCTTCACTTCCAATGACTTTAACCATTTGTTTGTTGCAGTTAACATTTATACCGTATTCTGCAGTTAACTGAGTGTTTCATATATCCTCACTTGATTGGTAAAGGGTAATAAAGAGACTCTAGGAAGTAAACTTAGTTAAGTTTCTGAGGCATACATTGATAGCACTCTGGCGTTGTACTTTCTATTATGAATCTTTGAAGACATTCTGCTATCAGAGAAAACAGCTTTCAGATGTCAGGGTTGACTGGGCTTATGATATCTTATCTCAAAACTGGAAGGACTATTGTAATTTTGCAGAATATTCCAGACTTTTGTTTCAGAAAGTTCCACCTACCCGTATGATTTCTTGTTATATAAAAGTTATGAATATTTAATTTATTTTCCAAGAAGATGGCAAAACACCAAGAAAGAGATTCAAAATCCTGAGACATTGAACTGGGCTTATATTTCTTGTCCTGTCTGGCTTTCACCTTTGATATGTGAGCATTTATCACTTAAGTATCTCCAACTATGTGTTAATGTTTTCAGCACCTAATATATGTTGATTCATTTTAACCTCAAAGTGGGGAACTTTGAAAGGCATTTAGTCCAGTTTCTGAATTTTGCCAATGAAACAGTTGAAGCTCAAAAAAGATAAAATTCACTTGTTTCTGTTTAATCTGGTGACTAGTGATAGAAGTGGGACTAGTACCCATTTTCTTTTGTCTAATAGATGGGGAGGAGGATGGTGAGGACTGGAGAGGCTCTAGAGATAGCTCAGTGGGCAAGAGTGCCTGATTTGCATGCTGGGGGCCTGCTTCGATTTTTATCCCTCACACTGTAGGAACCCCTGAACATCTAAGAATTAGATAGTTTTAGGGTGCTAAAACAGAGCATCTTGTATTTAGGGATGTTGGGTACTTTGGGTATTTGAATTACTTAATACTGGTAGGATGCTGCTTTTATTGGTTGACAGGCTACATTGCTGCATATGTTGAGTTTGTATTTGGGGAAGCAAATTCTTTGAACATTCATTATATAAAACTCTAGAGGTATTGAGATTAAATTGAGACAGCAGGTATGTAGGAAACGTTCAGGGATTCTGTATGTAATCATAGCAAAGACTGAAAATTATGCTTTGCGTGACTGTACTGAATATGATTAATTTAGCACTGTGGCACAGCACTGACTTCCCGTTGTTCATCGATTTGCTCGAGCGGGCACCAGTAACGCTCCATTGTGGGACTTGTTTTTACTGTTTTTGGCATATTGAATACGCCACGGGGAGCTTGCCAGGCTCTGCCATGCAGGTGGGTTACTCTCGGTGGCTTGCCTGGCTCTCCGAGAGGGACAGAGGAATCGAACCCGGGTCGGTCATATGCAAGGCAAATGCCCCACTTGCTGTGCTGTCGCTCCAGTCCATCACTTGATCACTCGATCACTTGACATTCTGTTACTCATCAGTTTGCTCGAGTGGGTGCCAGTAAAATCTCCATTCATCCCTGTCGCGTGCTAGTGTAGTCCAATGGCGTCTGCTCGCTCCAGGTACACGAAGAGCCTCAACTTGATCATTCAGGGTCTTGACGAAGAACTCTGACCATCTCGTAGGTGGGCGACCATGTGATCTTTTGATGTTCTGTGGAATCCAGTTGGTAACGGTTCTAGTCCAGTGGTCATCTCCAAATCGCATTACATGTCTAGTCCATCTGATTTTCGACACCTTGGCAAATGAGACAGCGTCTCTGATTCTTGATCGGCGACGGAGGTTGGAACTCCGGATTCTTTCACTTAAGTGAAGAATACGATTGCTTCAGTCCATGATTAACTTAATTAAAACAAATGTAATTTTTTTAGAAAAACAAGAGATCAATCAGTTTTTAATAAAATAATTTTAAAACTTCATAAAATTGATATGATTATGTTTTAAAATGTATAAAATTCATCTGATTGTATTTAGCTATTTTTTCTACTTTTAAAATTTAAAGACTGCTAGAAGATATAATTCTCTAATACAACATTTGAATGTCTAGCAAAATACATAATAAAGCTTATTTATTAGAGTTTAATTCTATAAATTCTGTTGCTTTTATTTCAGGCTATTTTGGACATGACATATTTTGAAGAGAACAAGCTAGTAGATGAAGATTTTCCTGAAGATTCTTCTCCAAAAGTAAAAGAGCTGATCAGTTTTCTTTCAGAACCAGAAGTACTAGTTAAAGAAAATAACATGCATCAAAAAGTAAGTTTTGCCGAAGAATAGGTGACTGGATAAAGAAATTACACTACATCTACACAATGGAATACTATGCTACCCTTAGGAACAATGAAGTCTGGAGCGATAGCACAGCGGTAGGGCGTTCGCCTTACAAGCGGCCAACATGGCCGACCCGAGTTCGATTCCTCCGCCCCTGTCGGAGAGCCCGGCAAGCTACCGAGAGTATTGGATATGCCAGACACAGTAACAACAAAGTCTCCAATGGAGACGTTATTGGGCCCGCTCGAGCAAATCGATGATCAACGGGAGGGCCTTTACTTTACTTTACTTTACATGGATGAACATGGGAAGTATCGTACTGAGTGAAATGGAACAGAGGGAGAGGGACAGACATAGAATGACTGTGCTCACTTGTGGGGTAACAACAACAAAAACATAGCATGAGAATTATAACCAAAGACAATAGAAAAGAGGGCCAGGAAGACCTGTCTGTGACAGGAAACTTGTCACAAGTTGTGGGGGAGTGCAGTTAGTAGAGGAGGGACTATTGTGACAATGATAATTAGAAATGATCACTTTGGACAAGAAAGGAGGTAAAGTGACATACATTGATAACCTTTCAGTAACAGTATTGCAAACCACAGTGCCTAAAAGGAGGGAGAGACAGAGACAGGGTGGGAAGGAGACAGAAGGGGAGGAGAGAGAGGGGATAGGGGAAAGGAAGTGTCTACTATAGAGACAGGCTTTGGGGGGTACCGGAGGAGGACCAGGTGGGAAACTGAGGCATTGGTGGCATAAAATGTACACTGGTGAAGGGATGGGTGTTGGAACATTGTATGAGTGAAACCAATCATAAACAATTTTGTAACTATCTCTTGGTGATTAATTAAAAAAATTAAAGCAGAAACTAAGTTTTAGGTCATGTATTTTGGTGGAATGCTAGGAAGTCTTCTACGCTGTTCTGTCGACTCTAGTTATCTTTTTAATGGTATGTTTGTCTCTTTAAATTAAATGAAGCTGGGGGCCTAAGTGATAGTACAATAGATAAGGCGCTTGCCTTGTACTCAGCTTACTTGGTTGGATCCCTGGTATCCCATATGGGCCCGGAGTATTGCAAGGAGTGATTCCTGAGTGCAGAGCCAGGAGTAACCCCTAAGCACTGCTGGGTGTGGCCCCAAAAGCAAAATATATAAATAAATTGATTGAAATTGTGAGATTTAGAGTTTTAAGTGATTATCATAACTGAGTTTCTTATTTGCCTAAGTTTTAGAATATTTGCACAATAGTATTATGTTTATAGATTTTAACATTTTTGTATGCGCAGATGTTATTTCTGCTCCCTTGACTTTTGCAGATGCTTTGTTTCCTTAATAGTCCCTAGCTATCTGATCACCATATTTCCCTCTTTTTACGGTCCCCCTAGGCATTTGCTGCCATCTTCTTGTTGCTCATTGTTCTGAGGCTTTGCATTCTCCTTCTCTTCTTCATTTCTAGAAGCCCTGCTATCTCTTTCCTAGAACGCCTGTCCTCAATCTCCTATTCACCCTTTCTGGAAACATTAAGCTTTCTCTAAGGTTATCTTTTTTATTTTGTGATAAGTGTCTATTCCACGTTTGTATGTCAAACTATGGAAACAAATAATCTCACATTTTAAATGTACAATATTTGATTTACTAAAATTGTCTGTATATCTTTGCATTATTCTATTCTACCAGTAGTAGAAGTTTTAAGAAATGTTTCTGAAAATATTTTTGTTTTTAGGCCACTGCTGGTGGTGCTACTGGCGTACTCCAGGTTCAGAGGTGGCTCAGGGAACCAAACTCCTGCACACAAAGCATGCACTTCAGTCCTTTGAGCTGTCTCTGTGGACTCTGAAAACTTAGGTTTTTAATCAGATTTGTAGAGTACTAATATTTCAGATATATTATGAGGATTAAAAAATTGTAATGTGACACATACTTTATTTCTTTTTTGCTTGTTTTATTGTTTGGGACCATACCTGATGGTACTCATGGATGACTCCTGAAAGGGTTCTGGGTCCATACCTGCTTTGGGATTGAACCCAGGTCAGCTGCATGCAAGGCTGTTACCCACTGTACTATCTCTCTGACTCAGTTCTATATTTCTAATTGATTCAAAGTAAGATTTTCCTGCGTATGGAGTTAAAGTGCAGCTTTTGTGAAATGCATGTTTTTAATTGCAATATATTTTGGGAGGCACATCTAGCAGTACTCGAGAGCCACTCCCAGGTCTGTGCTCATGGGGAACTCCCAGTGATTGGGGGATCGTGTGGTGTTGAGATCAAATGGGGCCTCTGGCTTGCAGAGCATTTATTCCTCAAATTGAGCTGTCTCTCTGGCCACATATTTTGAAATTTCACTTTATTTATTTTTTGAGACTTCAGTTTTCACTGCTTAGCTCTTTCTTCTTTGTATTTCAGCACTGTAATTTGCTTGGGGATGAACTTCTGGAATGTCTTTCTTGGAGACGAGGAGCCCTGCTCTATATGTATTGTCACTCTCTAACCAAAAGAAGAGAGTGGCTCACAAGAAAATCTAGTTTGCTTAAAAAGGTAAAAGGGTCCTGCTGATAGAGTTTTGATGGTTGATATTTGTCAGTTTGAGAATTCTGTCTTTGATACAGAAGAGTAGTGGAATCAAAGGGTCTTAATTGCATTGCAGGTTTTTTACTTCTTATCTGCATAATATTAAATTAGAATTATTATGAAGATTAAAGCACATGAGAGTGGCTTGAAAACTGGGCTATGTGTTTTCATCAAAGTTACACTTTTTTAACTTGGGGGGCCACAGCCAACAGTGCTTAAAGCCTGCTCCTGGCTCTGTGCTCAGGGATCACTTTTGGTGGGACACACGGGAACTCAGTATGATGCCAGGGATCGAACCCGGGTTGGCCACATGCAAGGCAAGTACTCTACTCGCTATGCTATGGCTCTGGCCCCATTTTTAATTTTTTTAAACATATGTTAGAATGTATTTTCAAGCATTTTTTTTTTTTCCTGCCTGAAGTGAACAAACTTGGTTGTGAGCCTTTCAGTTGCAGATCACCACTAAAGTGAATATGCATTTCTTTGCTCCTAAAAAGTTGTAGGCCTCTGATTCATCTTAACTCCTGTGACCTAGAAGCAAGTCTGAAGAATTTTTCTGAAAGCTATAGCACTGAGAATTCTAACTGAGGTTAATTGTACATATGGTTTAGGTGCTTTTGGAAATGAGAGGTCTCAGATATAAAAATTTGATCATAGTGTCTATAAACTATTTTAAAATATTTAAAAATGCATATTTTTAAAAATGTTAACAAGCCTTTGTTTTCATCTATGTATACCTCAGATAATCTTTTTAACAGGCATATTCTTGTGTTGAGCTGGAGTGATAGCACAGCGGGTAGGGGGTTTGTCTTGTATATGGCCGACCCAGGTTCTTTTCCTCCGTTCCAATTGGAGAGCAAGCTACCAAGAGTATCCCACCCAAACAGCAGAGCTGGCAAGCTCCCCGTGGCATATTTGATATGCCAGAAACAGTAACAAGTCTCACAATGGAGACATTACTGGTGCCCGCTCGAGCAAATCAGTGACCGGGAGGACAGTGCAATGCTGTGCTGTTGTTGTGTTATATGTTCTTGGGAAATTTTTTCCCCTTTCTCCTCATATTTTTACTAACAGAAGAAGTTGTGGGTGTATAAAGGTTTTGGGGTAGCCAGTTCTGATACCATCAAAATGTAATGCCCATGAGGTTTATATACATATTAGCCATTTTTTTCTTCAGTAAAGATAGGAAGAAAAAAATAACATTTTAATTTTCTATAGCTCAGCCTATAATACTTTCAATTCTTTGGCTTTGACTTTCATTTAGTACCTTGTTGATGGAATTCGTTACTTGCTACAGATGCTAAATTTTCGATCTCCTGTCCAATTAAATGAAGAAGTTTCTTTCCAAGACCTAGATACAGCTAAATTACTAAGTGAAGGTAATGTGATATCTTTTTTGAAGAGATTGGTATTTCAAAGGTTTTTAAAGTTTGGAGTCTATTAGTTTTTACTCATATAAAAATATATAAATTATAGATGTAAAATCTGATTTAAAAAATTTCAAAGATCTCGTATATTAGAAAAATACTGCTAACTTTGACTATTACATATCATATTACATATCAGGTTACTTGGGTTAATTTTTCATTCCTGCGTATAGCTCTGATCATAGACTTGGTTTGACTACTTAAAATAATAGATTGGGAGTAACTTCTGAAGAAAAGTAAAAATCTGGGCAAAAGTATGTAGGTGAGGAGGAGATTGCTGGCCTTGCAGGTGTGAGAACTTTGGTTCAATAAATATGGTAAAAATTCTATTCTTTCACGCGAAATAAACTTTGAGCTGGATGTGGTAGATTCATAGTGATGGGGGCCTGTCATTTCCCTTCATCGTCTTTGGAACCATCTTCAGCTTCAGAGCTTGTCACTTTATCTAGAGTACCATGTAACAATATCTGTTAAGTAAGACACATGATTGTAACTATATCGTTGAGCCTAGACTATACCTTCACATAAAAATTGTATTCATGGGGGGATTTAGGAATCTCTTTGTACTGTGAAATTGTATGTAGAGTGTGGGATGTAGGCTATGGTAGAGGTTTTATTGATTAGATTCTCGAAGAGTTCTTTAAAAGGAAACCAGAAAAGTCACAAACACAAACATAAATTAGTCTGTTTTGTTTGTTGCTTTTGTTTGTTTTTGGCCATGCACTTCAATCCTGCTCCAGAGACCCTCTCAGCAGTGTGGGGCACAGCAGTGGTGCTAGAGTAACAGCCACAGGTCTACCACATGCAAGCAAGCATCTAGCTCTTGGACCTTTCTCTCAGGCTCTTATATTCATATTTGTAAAACATTTCTCTAATGAGACTTTTTAAAGGCTGTTGGCCAAAGTGCTAATTAAATGAGAATTGCATTTGTGATAATTTGTCTTTTCTAAGTTCAACCATTAGAAGAGAGGGAAAATGCTTGATGACATGAGAAATTTATTGTAGTTCTAATAACCGGGGGTTTCTTTTTAAGCTTCTAAATTTTAATCCCTTCATCTTCATGGCTCTTCCAGGAATATTTAGTGACATCCATTTACTGGCTATGATGTACAGTGGAGAAATGTGTTACTGGGGATTGAAACATTGTGCTGATCAACAGCCAGAAAATAAGGAAATGGATCCTGGGGATTCTGGAGCAAGCGACAGTACACACAAAGAACCGTTGGATTTCCGAGAAGTAGGAGAAAAAATTTTGAAAAAGTACGTATCTATATGTGAAGGACCCCTAAAAGAACAAGAATGGAATACAACAAATGCAAAGCAAATTCTAAACTTCTTTTCGGCATCACACTAAGTAGTAAGTTTATTCAGACCTTTCAGACAGTAAAATAAAGACCCATGAATTAGAAAAGTTTCAGAAAAGAAGAATTATTGACATTCTGAATTTAAGAACATTACACTACATAAAGATACCCAGCATGGTTATACTTTTTAAAATGTCTTTGTCACTTCTCATTAAATATTCTTTTTTCCTTTTATTTTTTTTTGGCGGGGAAGGGGTTTGGGCTACACCCAGCAAAACCCAGGTCTTACTTCTGGCTCTGTGCTCAGGGGTCACTCTTGGCAGTGCTCGGGAAACTATATGTGGTAATGGGGATCAAATAAGGGTTGGCCATGTGCAAAGCAATCCCCTTAACCCCGTACTATCTTCCCAGCCCCCATTATGTATTTTTAAATTCCGTAAAGAAACAGATTTTTAATTTTGAAAATGGCATGTATGTTATTCTAAATCAACCTGAACTATAGATAACTTGTCATATCAGAGTTTTAAACTTAAGTAATCCAATTTAGCTTTACAAAATAATATAGTATGTCAGAGTATTTTTTATTGTTCTAAAATATTCAAAACAACATTGAACATCGTAAGTTTCTTTAGATTTTTAGAAAATATACCTGTCTTGAATTTTACTGTGCTTCAAAGATTAAAAACAGCGCACCTCACTGTTTTAAATCTGTGGTATAGATATAAACATTGGCAAATTGAAAAATTATGACTAATACTTAGGTTCTGTTTTCAGATAAGATAGTGAACCATTTTACAAAATAATTTTTGCCTAATCTTTACTATGCATTATTAATGGCACTTAAAGTTTTTCTTTAGATGTTTTATAAAAATTTAAAAAATTTCCTATTTTGTTTAAAAGAATTACTCGTATTCAGTTTATTAAATAAGTATTGAAGACAAAACCAAGTTAAGTTAGTTTAGTTGAGCTCACTTGTCTCTATGGCACATGTTTTCATATGTATTACATTTTTCTGTCTTGATTTTTGATAAGAGGAGTGAGTGATAAAGGCCAGAGTGCCTGACTTGCTATCTTGCTTAGTCTTTCTGTCTACCTCAACTCCTGTTGCCATTTCGGCTGATCTGTCTTGATATCTTACTGATATCCTTAAACCTTTGTGCCAGTGAATTTATCACATTCCAGGAACTTACTTCCAGGACTATGCCTTGAACACCACCATTCTGTGTTTCTCTTTGAAATCAGAAATTCCAACAACTGGTGACAGTTCTGTTCTTCCAAGTGTTTTCATCTCTTTATTTTCAGTAATATTTCCTGTTCTTTGTATTCTAGTATTCTACCATCTCTTTCATTTCTTTATTGCCGCCTCCTTTGACTCTTCCTTTTTTTTTTTTGTAACCTCTTCACCTGTTTCAGATTCCCTCCCCAGCTCAGCTTTAAGGGGAACCCTATGAAACGCTCTCCACAGTCCCTTTATATCCATCTTCCCTTCTCCCTTCACCTCATGATTCTGCAAGCCCTTATTGAGTTAATCCTGTCTGGGATGCTGAGTTCTCTGTTAGGTCCATGGTGCCTCTGAAAACGAAATTGCTGTTAAGTATCTGGCTTTCATTTTTAGAATCTGTGACTTGTTACCGGTGTGGTCACTTTTCTATTCCCTGAGGTGGCTAACATGTATCTTAGTTTCCTCAGGCCCTGGGTCTACTCTTCTACTTATGGTTCTTGGTCTGGCTTATAAACAGTAGGGAGTGTGAGGTCAGTGTATGTTTCCCAACTGTGTCTTACTTGTGCTTCCCCTTTTGCCAGAGGAAAGAGGGAACCTGCTTTCTCTTGGAGACCTCATCTCTACCCTCCTCCCTGCTCTCACCCTCAATTTCCCAGGGCTTCTCTTTTACCCCCTCCTTCGGTTTTAATATTCCTTAGTTCTTTTTCCTTTAAATATTCTTCTCTATAGTGTCATTTCTAGATATCCCTTCCTCTGCCTTGTTGGGCTGACTCCCAAAGTTGCTACTTGATTCTCAGCTTCTCTCCTGTTCTCAAAGTCCTTTTTTTTATCCCCCGCCCCCTCCCCCCCCATGGCCTATTAAGTATCTTCATTTAGACACATCCACTAGTAATATGAAACTCAGTTTGTCCAAACAGCTAGTAATCATCTTACATCTGTAACCTTTTCTGGCTTATGGTTCTTGTATTTCAGTCTTATACGGAGCAGGGCGGAACAGAATGCCATCAGTGAGTGTCTGCGTGTGTTCCAGTCTCAGCTGTGTAATCCTGCTCTAGTTCACTCTTCTCAGCATTTAAAAGCCAGATGCACTTTTGATAGATTATTAAACATTTTGACAGAGCCTTTTGGCACAAGGAGAATCTACCCTGCTTGGCCTACTTGTGTCTCCTTCTAGAACTCTGTGAAGATTTTTATTCAGCTTTTTAAGAGATTTCACAGGCTTATCTGAGAACATGGAGAATGGGTTTTGGACCACCACAGTGAGATAAGTTACACAATTTTTTTTTTTTTGGTTTTCCAACACATGTAAAATTATGTTTATATTATGCTGTGCACTAGAATTATCTTAAAGTAAAAGTGAAAATTGTGTCTTATGTGTATTCCCTAATTAAATGTGACACAGAGACACAGGTGAGTGCATGGCTTTTGAAAAAAAGGAACCAGTAGACTTGATCCATGTGGGGCTGCTATGGATTTGTTAAAAACCTTAGATTTATTAAAAACTGCAACATCTGCAGTGGGCAATCGAGCAGTGCACTATAAGAAGGTATGCCTGGGCTGTGAAGATAGTTTTGTGCTTTCTAATTCTAAACCTGTAAGTCATTTTTAATGTGTTTTAGAAACACAGACTACCCACCCTGCCTCCCTTTTGGAGCATCATGATCAACTGCAAGTAAATCCTTCCCCAATGTGCTGGTGTGTTTTTCTCCTTCACTGCCCTTTGCACATTTCATTAGTAATACCTGAAATGCTTTGTCTTCTTTTGTGGTCAAATGATGACCTAATTAGCTTTTAGGACTCAGCTCAGTGATACCGCTTCTATGAGGCTTTTTGTTGGTCTTCCCCATCAAAATTAGATGATTCTTTGCTTGTTCCTTCAATATTCCTCTTCTATGTTATCACTCTGATTACATTGTATAGTACTTATTTCTCTTATGAGTTGGTAGACTTTATATATTTAAAAAAATCTTGACACATAGTGTTTAGTGATAGACCCTTAGTGATTTTTTAAAATAAGACATTAATTAACAAGTGCCAAATGGCCAAAAAGGTTGCAACTATTGTATTTTAAACTGCCATGCCTTATAGGGCAAACAGGGAATTACTTAACCCTCAAAGGAGTAAAGTGTTACTTTGATTTAGAACTTAAGAAAACAAGTAAACTCTCTTAGGAACGTCCATTTTTGCCTTTTACACTTTGGTGAATCACAGGGGTCTTTCACTGATTGGTATAGTTATGAGGAAAAACTGGGTGCTCTTTGTGCAACTTTTCTATACCTCTATACCTCCTCATCCCCCGCTTTCCACACGATTGTAGAATCATTTATAGACCATAATAATTAAATGGTTTTTGTATTACAAAATGGTTATTACAGCAATGGTTATTGCAGCAGTGGTTACTGTGTTACAAAATCATGACCAACATATTTTGTATGTGTTAAAGCCTGCTAAGTAAATTATTTCATTTAGAATAAAGTAAACTCAAGATAACCAAATTCTCCTCAAGAAAAAAATACTAAAATTTACTCAGTTCACAAATACTCGGTGTCTACTGCATGCCATGTTTTGTCCCAGGCTCTGAGGATGTCACTAAAGCATATTCTTTTGGAGCTTACGTTCTAGTGGAGCACATTTTAAGAAGTGGACATTATGTACGTTCAGGTACGAGAGCTTTGAAGAGTGAAGTGGGTGTATTACTGACACACATGTTTCCTACAAGCTGGCCCAGTGGTGCTCAGGGCTTGCTCATGGTTCTGTGCTCAGGGTGGTGTTGGGAGATCAAACCCTGCTTGGCCGCATGCAGGACAAGTGTCTTACCTGTACTACTCTTCTGGCCTTGTTACAGATATTCTATTACTGAATTAAGGAATGAGTCACTACCTGAGCATTCTCATTTTGATTACATTTGAAGGGTTTCTCTCCAGAATGCTTTAGGATGAGCGGTGATGAAGGAGTGTTGCTGCGTTTATTCAACTTTGAGCCTCTTTTCCTTTTGAGTCTTTGATGATTGCTCACACTTCAAGCGTTAAAGGATTCTTTATGCTTAAATTTCTGTGACTTTTTCCCAGTTTTCGTTTTCTGAGGTTAATAAGGCTTTCAGAGTTAAGGCCTGGAGCTGCAGAGAGAGTACAGCAGATAAGGCACATGCCTTCTCACGGCTCACCTATTTGATCCCTGGTCCCCAGCATGGCATATGGAACCCCCCTGACCAATGCCAGGAGTGACCCCTGAGCACAGAACAGGAGTAAGCCCCAAGCATAGCTGGGTCTGACCTGAATGCCCTCCCCACCAAAAAAATAGACTTAAGGTCTGGCCTGTCTGTTTCACTATACTTACAGTGTTTCTGGTGACAGTATACTGATGCTAATTAAGTGCAGCTCTCAACTAAAAGTTTTCCTTATTCTTTTGCATATAATGGAGTGAGATGAGAGTCTTGGCTAAAATCCCATAATAAAATACTGTTCCTATTTTTATAGTCCCACTGTGAGTTCTCTGATGTTCACTAAAGTCTACCTATGTCTGAAGGCATTCCTGTTGGAGTACACGGAGCTTAGGTTTATCAGATTGTACCCATCACAGCCTTTTATTTTCTGTGTGTTTACACACATTCCTAAATTCACTCTAATGATTTTTTCCCTTCCTGGAATCAAAGGTCAAAACCAGGGTTTCTCACATGCATGGCAAGTGATTCAGCATTGAGGTATGTCTTTAGTCCCTTGTAATGACATTTAAAAAAACAACTTGGGGCTTGAGCGATAGTGCACAGTAGGTAAAGTGCTTGCCTTGCACGTGACCAGTTGGAATTCCATCCCCTGCATCCCACATGGTCCTCCATGCACTGCCAAGAGTGATTCCTGAGTGTAGAGCCAGGAGTAAGCCCAGAGCATCACCTCATGTGCCCTCGAAACAAAACAAAAATCCCAATACAGCTTAATGAGGTTCCAAACAATATCCCTGGGGGTCAATTCCTAATAACCCATAGTCTGCTCCCCTACCCTCTCCCCCCAAAAAGTTAAAACCAAACTCCACAGGTGGTTGGCATGTTAGTTTTAGGTTGTCATTTTTCTGTTCCTACCAGGGCTCCTTCTGTTGGTTCCTATAAAGCTATCACATCTGCCATAGAATCCAGTATTTTGTCATTATTTAGTGTTACTTCCTGTTACTATGTATTTTTTACTGCAGTATGAGATGCCATGTTATAGAAGTATTACATTTAAATACATAAACTGTATCTATGATTAAAGTGTACATTATGTATTCACGATGGCGTTCTTTCCTTTTTTTCTCCTACTTACAGTGAAAATTTCCAAGTAAAATGTTTTGGAACATAGAAAATTAAAAAAAATAAAACCAATATTCCTTTATAATGTTTCTTGTTCTTTGTTTTCTTTTATCTTTGGTTTGTGTGTCATCGTCAGAACCACTACCATTTCACTCTGCTTATTGAGGTCTCAATGTTTCTTTGGTCCTAGTAACTTCAGACAGAATAGCACATAGGTCAGAAACTTGGCCTTGAGATCGGACACTAAACGTGGATCCCAGAGCTTTTATTTTCTGTGTGACTCTGGAAATTACTTAACCCTGGTGCCTTAATATCCTGTATCTAAATGGGAATAGTAATAGTACCTACCTTACAGGTCATTGAAGACCGAAGGAGTTCCTGTTTCAAGTGCTGAGACAGTGTCTACCACATTTATGAGTGCTGAAAGAGCACACCCTAAAGATTAAAAGAGTGAATTGCTGCCTTTGTCTTTTATTTTGAAGAGTGTAAGTAAAAATGAGATTAATTTTTAGCAGGTTATTTGGATATATGTGAAAAAAGTTTGATAATATTGGTGCACAGTGGTTGTTATGGGATTTAGATTTTACATATATGAGTGTCTTCACAATACTTGAACAGTTGTTTGAGTATGGGTATTGTAAGTAATTACCAGCTGAGATAAGTTTAAGCCATGATATGTAAAAATCTAACTCTGTTCTCAGGAGTGGAATATTAAAGTGCAGTTTGGAGGATATTTTTTTAATTGCACAGTATGGCATAATGCTCCATTATATATTTAATACAACATTAGATTGACTCCTTTCAGGAGTAGAACTCTAGAATTGGAGAAGGAATCACTGGAATAAATGGGGTGTGGTCATCTATTTGAAAATGACTGAAACATAGTGTCAATTTAGTTTTTGGATACTAATTAGTCCAGACCCAGTTCAGCATCCTAGATTCCCTTGTACTATGGTGTGTGGTTCTTAAAGCCTGTGTATTTAGTCTTATTTCTTTCTTCACCATTTTTTATTGAGATATCCTAATTTCCAGTGCTATTAATGATACTTTTCATCTTAAAGCTCTTTTAAAGTCATGCTGGACAGGGACTGGAGAGAGAGTACAGTGAATAAAGCTCTTGTCTTTCACATGTGTCCCCCACTCCCACCACCACACATACACACACACACAGACCGCCTCAGCACCTCGAGGATTTCTGAATACAGACACACACATAGTCCCAGTGTGCTCAGACCTCACACACACACACACACACACAGTCCCAACACCTCCAGGATTTCTGAGTATAGATACACGCATACAGTCCCAGCGTGCTCACATACACACACTGTCCCAGTACTTCCAGGATTTCTGAGTATAGACACACACACACACACACACACACACACACACACACACACACAGTCCCAGCACCTCCAGAATTTCTGAATATAGACACACAATCCCAGCACCTCCAGGATTTCTGAGTATAGACACACAGTCCCAGCACCTCCAAGATTTCTGAAGATAGACACACACATACACACACACAATCCCAGCATCTCCAGGATTTTTGAGTATAGACACACAAAATCTCAGCACCTCCAGAATTTTTGAGTATAGACACACACAATCCCAGCACCTCCAGGATTTTTGAGTATAGACATACACACATACTCCCAGCACCTCCAGGATTTTTGAGTATAGACACACACACACAATCCCAGCACCTCCAGGATTTTTGAGTATAGACACACACACACACACACACAGTCCCACCACCTCCAGGATTTTTGAGTATAGACACACACATACACACACACAATCCCAGCACCTCCAGGATTTCTGAGTATACACACACACACACACACACAAACACACACAGTCCCAGCACCTCCAGGATTTTTGAGTATAGGCACACACACACACACACACACACACACACACACACAGTCCCAGCACCTCCAGGATTTTTGAGTATAGATACAGACACACAGTCACAGCATCTCCAGCACTCACAGTCCCAGCACTGACAAACACACACACACACACACACACACAGTCCCAGCACCTCCAGGATTTTTGAGTATAGACACACACACACACACACACACACACACACACAATCCCAGCACCTCCAGGATTTTTGAGTATAGACTCAGGAGTGATACCGGAGCATCACTGGGTGACCCAAAAACCAAGTTTCTTGCTAGACAAAGGAAGAACGAACAACACTGGAGAGGGGGAAAACAACCCCTTGGAATGACTGGGATACCAGATCTCACTGTGTTTAGCTTGGGGGCCAGGGCTGGCAGTGCTCAGAGGTTGCACCTGGCTCTGCGCTCAGGACTCACTCCTCGGGATGCCGGGGAGAGAACGCGGGCCAGCCACGTGCAAGGCCAGCGCCCTATCCCGCTCTAGCCCCTCTCTTTGTTACTGGCCCTTCCACGGGAAATTCATGGAGACCCCTCCCCACTTTAGGACTGCCCTCAGGGGCTCCCGCCGGAGGGGTCTTCTCGGCAGCCGAGGGAAGGGGGTGAAGGAAGGGTGGCGACCGGGGGCGGCGGGCGGGCTCCGCAGCCCCCGTGGGGTCCCGGCGCTGTGCGGCCGGCGCCGACGTGGCGGGCGTGCGGGCTCGGGGCGGGGCCGCGGCCGGGGCGGGGCGGGGCGGGCCGGGGCGGGGCGGGCGGCTCCGCGTCACTCGTCACTCGCGGCGCCCGCGGCCATGGCTGGGAGCGAGCGGGGCCCGGCGGGCGGCTCCCCGCCGGCGCCGCACAGCGACTGGGGCCGCCTGGAGGCCGCCATCCTCAACGGCTGGAGGAGCTTCTGGCAGTCGGTGGGCAAGGAGCGGCCGGCGGCGCGGGCGGCGCGGGAGGACGCGGACGAGGAGGCCACCTCCCTGACGCGGCTGCCGGTGAGCGGCGGGAGGGCCGGGCGCCGGGCCGGGCTCGGGCGGCCGCGCCCCGCAGCGGGTCCCCCGGGAGCGCCCCCTCCCCGGAGCCCCCCGCGGAGCCGCCAGCGCGGCCTCGCAGCCGGGGAGAAGGTCGCGGGGAAGCTCCAGCTCAGGGAACGCCCGCGGGACCTGCTGGATCCTCCCTCCCTCCCTCCCTCCCTTCCCTCCTTCCTTCCTTCCCTCCTTCCTCTTTCCCTCCCTTCCTTCCTTCCTTCCTTCCTTCCTTCCTTCCTTCCTTCCTTTCTTTCTTTCTTTCTTTCTTTCTTTCTTTCTTTCTCCCCCTCCTTCCTTCCTTCCCTCCTTCCCTCCTTCCCTCCTTCCTTCCCTCCTTCCTTCCTTCCCTCCTTCCTCTTTCTTTCCCTTTCTTCCTTCCTTCTTTCTTTCTTTCGTTCTTTCTTTTTCTTTCTCTTTCTTTCTTTCTTTCTTTCTTTCTTTCTTTCTTTCTTTCTTTCTTTCTCCCCCTCCTTCCTTCCCTCCTTCCCCTTTCTTTCTTTCTTTCTTTCTTTCTTTCTTTCTTTCTTTCTTTCTTTCTTTCTTTCTTTCCTTTCTTTCTTTCTTTCTCCCCCTCCTTCCTTCCTTCCCTCCTTCCCTCCTTCCTTCCCTCCTTCCTTCCCTCCTTCCTCTTTCTTTTCCTTTCTTCCTTTCTTTCTTTCTTTCTTTCTTTCTTTCTCTCTTTCTTTCTTTCCCTCCTTCCTTCCTTCCCTCCTTCCTTCCCTCCTTCCTCTTTCTTTCCCTTTCTTCTTTCTTTCTTTCTTTCTTTCTTTCTTTTTCTCCCCTTTCTTCCTTCCTTTCTTCCTTCCTTTCTTCCTTCCTTTCTTCCTTCCTTCCTTCCTTCCTTCCTTCCTCTTTCTTTCCCTTTCTTCTTTCTTTCTTTCTTTCTTTCTTTCTTTCTTTCTCCTTTGTTCCTTTTCTCTTTCTTTCTCCCTTCCTTCGTTCCTTTTTTCTCTTTCTTTCTTTCTCCCTTCCTTCGTTCCTTTTCTCTCTCTCTTTCTCCCCCTCCTTCCTTCCTTCCCTCCTTCCCTCCTTCCTTCCTTCCCTCCTTCCTCTTTCTTTCCCTTTCTTCTTTCTTTCTTTCTTTCTTTCTCCCTTTCTTTCTTTCTTTCTTTCTTTCTTTCTTTCTTTCTTTCTTTCTTTCTTTCTTTTTTCTCTTCCTTCCTTCCTTCCTTTCTTCCTTTCTCTCTCTCTCTCTCTCTCTCTCTCTCTCTCTCTCTCTCTCTCTCACCCTTCCTTCCCCGCCCCCGAAAGGCCATGGGACCAGTCTGGGCTAGGGCCTGATCTGGAATATTCCCTAATCTGGATTATAGACACCCCTGCTACTCCCCACCCCCATCCCTTGGCTGTCTACTGGGATTGCTGAAGGAAGCATCGGGCATCGCATCGTGTTCTCTTCATTTTTGATCCCTTCCTGGAGCAGAGCTTCCTAGGGTCCCCTCCAGACACATGCTCCCCAGAGATGCAGTGGCTTTTGCCTTTCCCAGTATTTGAAGTAACAAAACTTCCCCTACGTGGAAATCAGTTCTCGCCATGCCGCAGGATGACACTCCTGTGTTGGGAAGGCAGAGAGGCAATTCACAGACAGCCTGGGGAGTTTGGGGTGCCCTCCCCAACTAACTGGCAGAAACTGGAGAATACAGACCTAGAGGATCTGCACATGTGACACAGTAACTGCTTCCAGAACTCAGATGCCAGGCTTCGCCTCTGATTGGGTTTAATGCTAAACTCATCAACTTGTCCGCTTTAAGGATTTTTATTAGGAGGGGTGGGGGTGGGAGGGAATGCTTTTTTAAGATGTAATTCATTCTCAACTATGCAGCTGCAAGGAGCCATGGAATCCTGCAGTTTGCTGCAACATGGTTGGAATGGGAAGATAGAAGTAAGCCAGAGGGTGATCTCAGGATGATCTCACTTGTGTCTGTGGTATACAGATTACTGGATGAGGAGATGTAGGTAGTAAATGAAGGAATGCCTAGATCACCCTTGACCCCAGTGCTAGAGAGGAGGACAGAGAAGGAAAGAAATCAAGGCGGGAAGAAGAGAAGTCGAAGCCATGGGTAAACAGGCACTGGGGCTTCAGTTATCCCAGTGATGTGGGTGAGAGGTACAGCCATATACCCAAAACACAGATTCAACAGAACTGGAAGCATGGGACCTCGGCAGCAACCACTGACACTTGGCAGTGTGCTTGCAGGTTGTCCGGCCAGGGTGCAGAGTGGAAGTTGGGATGGGAGGGAATCTAGGAACATTGGTGGAGGGAGGTTGACACTGGGGGAGGGGTTGGTGTTAAATTATTGAATTGTTGAATTATTGAATACCTGAAACTCAGTTACCGGTCACTTTGAAAATCATAATTTTTTTAATATAATTTATTTATTTATTGAATCACTGTGGGAAAAGTTACAGAGCTTTCAGGTTTAGGTCTCAGTCATGTAAATATCAAACACATTTCCCTTTATCAATACTTATTTTTTACCGCAAACCCCAATAGCACCCCACCTCCCACCCCTACCAGTTCCTGTGAGGCAGATGAGTTCTAGTTAACACTCTATCTACTTTGACTAGATTGATTGTTTCGATAAAAGATGCACCATTATTATTTAGAGTTTACGACCCTCCCCCCCCCCCCCCCCCCCCAATCAGACATGCTGAAAAAGCGTTGTGAAATGATTTGCTTTCTACAGCTGGGTTTTAAGAATTAAATGATGTCACTCGGCCGCGATAGTGGCCGCGCGGTTTTGGATTTCTGCTATTTTACTTTTTAACCCTGGAAGTATTTCTATTAAAAATTAGATAGTTAAGAGATTGGTTTCTGTGCTCTGGAGTCGTGGCCGTGCCAGAGAGCCGCTCGTGGGGGCAACTGGTGATCTCGGTAGGGCGTGAAGGATGGACCGGAACGCCCCCCTTCCCATGAGGTCCCTGCCGCCCCCGACCCCCGGCTCAAACCTGCTGTCCACAAGGCTCCCGTGCGGCCGCCATCTTTCTTTCCAGAGAGGAGAGGGCGAATGGGGCAACACCCTTTCCCCTCCGGGCAGGCATGCTGGCGTGGTTTAACACATAGTCCAATCGCTTTTCTGCTCCAAACGGCTGGTTTTCTGCGTTAAGTCCTTGTGCTTCTGGGGCCGTGGCCGTGCCGGAGAGCCGCTCGTGGGGGGCAACTGGTGACCTCTGTAGGGCGTGAAGGACGGACCGGAACGCCCCCCTTCCCAAAAAACATGATTCTTTAGTAAAAAATTTTAAAAAGTAAAAAAAATATAATTCATTCTCATAAAGGGTATGTCCAAGCATCTAGGAGATAAAAGTAAATGTACTGATTGCTTGAAAATTGTACAGTGCTTGTTCATAATAGCCAAAATCTGGAAACAACCCAAGTGCCCTAGAACAGATAACTGGATAAAGAAACTTTGGTACATCTACACAGTGGAGCACTATGCATCTTTCAGGAGAGATGAAGTCATGAACTTTGCTAATAAATGGATAGACATGGAGAGTATCATGCTAAGTGAAATGAGTCAGAAAGAGAGGGACAGACTTCTGTAGAAGGACTGCACTCATTTGTGGAGTATAAAACAATATAACATGAGGCTGACACCTAAGGATAGTAGATACACGGGACAGATAGATTGCTCCATATCTGGAAGCCTGTCTCATGAGCAAAGGGGAGAAGGCAGCTGGAATAGAGAAGGGATCACTAAGAAAAAGATGGCTGGAGGAATCGGTCGGGATGGGAGATGTGTGCAGAAAGTAGATAAAGGACCAACCAAACATGATAACCTCTCAGTGTCTGTATTGCAAACCATAATCCCCCAAAGTAGAGAAAGACTAGACTATGGGGAATCATGTCTGCCATGGAGGCAGAGGGAGCATGGGAAAGGGGGGGTATACCGGGGATATTGGTGGTGGGGAATGTGCACTGGTGGAGGGATGGGTGTTTGATCATTGTGTGATTATAACCCAAACATGAAAGCTTATAACTATCTCACTCTGATTCAATGCAATTAAAAAAAAAAGAAAATTGTACAGTGTTTGGGCTTTTTTCTCCAGGAATGTTTCAAACTGTCAAAGATTAAGTTTCTGGTTATGATTCTCTTGTTATTGTAATGGAGAGTGTACAAGTTGAATCACTCTGGAGATTTAATTAGTAACAACCTTGTTAAGTTGTTCTTTGGTTATTGCATGTAATAATTCTTTGTTGATTTTTGTAATATATCACAATAGATTTAATTATTAACAAGCTGTTCAATTAACCTTTGCTTTTGTGGTATAATATAATACTTGTCATTTTGTAGCTTATCAAAAACCAATTTTTGTATGAGGAATTATTCATCCCATTTTTCCACTTGCCTCTTTCTTTCAGATTGATGTCCAGCTACATATTTTGTCATTTCTCTCTCCACACGATCTGTGTCAGTTGGGAAGTACAAGTAGATACTGGAATGAAACTGTCCGAGATCCAATTCTTTGGAGGTATTTTCTGTTGCGAGATCTACCTTTATGGTCTTCTGTTGATTGGAAGTCTCTTCCTGATCTCGGAATCCTAAAAAGGCCTGTATCTGAAGTCGCTGATGGAACATTGTTTGATTACATGGCAGTGTAAGTACTGTTTTATGAATTTTGAAAAATGTTAACTTTCATAGCATTATAAGTCAGTACCCCTGGCAATGTTGAGACTAATTACTTTATTAGTATCAAGTGCATCTGATGCTGTGGAACCAAATTTTCAATAGAAATATTAGTGATTGTATTAACTATCATTTGTGATCATAGGTAAATTATTTATGGTCCTACAATCTTGTAGCCCGGCAAGCTACCGAGAGTATTCGATATGCCAAACACAGTAACAACAAAGTCTCCAATGGAGACGTTACTGGGCCCGCTCGAGCAAATCGACGATCAACGGGAGGGCCTTTACGTTTACCTTACAATCTTGTAGTTCATTTGTTCTAGTTTTAATAATTGCAGATGAAAAAAAATGAACTAAAAATTTGTGGGACATATAACTAAAGTGAAGGTTGGCCAGATCTACCTAGCTCTAAAGCTAATGTTTTTTCCTTTTTGAATTATAAGGTTCTAAATAAAGATGGTTACCTTATCAGGGAGTGACTGTCTTTTGGTGGGGAACAGGGCTTGGGGTCACACATAGGAGTGCTCAGGGCTTACTCTTGCTTAAGTACTCAGGGATCACTTCTGTTGGGGCTCAAGGGATCATATGTAGTGCTGGGGATAGAACAGGGTTGGGCTACATAGCTGGCAGGCACCCCTCTGTACTGTCTCTCCAGCCTCGATAGTGACTATCTTAACCAGCTTTTATTAGTTAAAGGGTTTAGGTTTTATTTTGATTTAGATAACTTTAATTTCTGATGATATTTAGAATTACTAATTTGAATCTGGGCTGGAGTGATAGCACGGTGGTAGGGTGTTTGCCTTGCGTGCAGGCAGCCCGGCCGAGCCTGGGCTCGGGGGCGGAGGAGAGCCCAGCAAGCTACCGAAAGTATTCAATATGCCAAACACAGAAGTTTTGTGTAACAAGAAGTCTCACAATGGAGACGATACTGGGCCCGCTCAAGCAAATCGATGAACAACGGGAGGACGGTTTGACAGTTTGAATCTGTGGGATAAAACTGAGTTGTTTCTTTCGCATAATTCTTAGTTTGCTCTGTTAGCTATAGAAAATCTGAAACTGGGGCCAGAGACATCGAATAGCTGGTAAAGCCCTTGCCTTGCACTGGGCCAACTTGGGTTCCATTCCTAGCATTCCATGTGGTCCCCTAACATTCCCAGGAGTGACTTCTGAAAGCTGTCACTCGGGAGTAAGCTCTGAGTACCTCTGGGTGTGGCCTAAGAACCAAAAAGAGAAAAAAAAAAGAAAAAGAAAATATGAATTTGCCAGTATATTTATACTAAAGTGTTACATTTGAGGCTATTAATTGGAGCACCTAAGAAATTTGGTTATATTGGTGGTCAAAGTGTTTTTTGAGACTATTATTAGAAGCACCTAAAAATTTGGTTATACAGGTGGTCAGTGTTATGTTTTAACCTGCAGGGATATGTATGCTGTGTAGTCTGTGTCCAGTTTCCCAGTCTTGGCACTATTAACATTTCTAACCTGATGTTTTGAGGGGCTCTCCTGTGCATCTTAGAGGAACAATGCATATTCCTCTAGGTACCAGTACCAACCCATCTACATGTCCAATCAGGCAAGTTATGATGACAAAAATGTCTTCAAATATAGTCAGATAGCTGGTAAAATCTCCCCAGATTGAGAATCACCTCTGTGTAGTATAATATGCACATTGGTAGGGCATTTGCCTTGCACATAGCCAACATGGCCGACCCGAGTTCGATTCCTCCGCTCCTCTCAGAGAGCCCGGCAAGCTACCGAGAGAATCTCGCATGCACGGCAGAGCCTGGCAAGCTACCCGTGACGTATTCGATATGCCAAGCACAGTAACAGCAAGTCTCATGATGGAGACGTTACTGGGTCCGCTCGAGCAAATTGATGAACAACGGGAGGACTGTGACTGTGACTGTGAAACAAGATTCAACATTTTAGACCAAATGCTCCTTGGAGAATCTAAGTGAAAGATTAGAAATAAGTAGCAACTTCCTGGGGAAGACTTCCTCAGATCACTGCCACTCCCATAGCACTCTGTGTTTTCTCCTGTCCTGACCCCAGCTTGCATAATATATGGTGTCTGTTCTGCATTGCCTTTTCTGCATGGAGGGGGGGAGTGTAATCATTGTGATTTTTGTGTCTAACAGGTACTCAAATGATTATCTATTGTTGAATGAACTACTATGTTTTTTTCTGTGATAATTTTCTAACTGTGATAATTTTATACAGCTATAAGATGTGCTCTCCATGTACCAGAAAATCTTTGAAGTCAATCCGTCCTGTGTATGGAGCTGTCACTTCCTTTTTACATTCCCTGATCATTCAGAATGAACCAAGATTTGCTATGTTTGGACCAGGTTTGGAAGAACTGAATACATCTTTAGTGTTGAGTTTGATGTCTTCTCGGGAACTTTGCCCAACAGCTGGTTTACCTCAGAGGCAGATTGATGGTAATTTTTATTTTCTTGATAATAAATAATAATTCACTCAGAGCTTAACACTGATTTAAAATAGAAAGGCATATATATTAAAAACAAAGAACAACAAAGAAAGAGTGTGAAAATAAGCTATAAGTTGCCATGCTGTTGAATTTGTATAGTAGATATAATATTTGCCATGTTTATTTGCCAAAAATAATGCTAACAGTGAAAACCTTGCATCTAATGTGTGGGAAGTTACTTTGGTATATATTAGAATTATTTATGTTTTTGGTTGGAAGATCACACTTAGCAATGTTCAGGAATTACTTCCAGCTTTGTGCTTTGGAGTTGATTCTAATGATGCTTAAGGGACTGTATTGCCAGTGATCGACCCTGGACCTCCTACATGCAAAACATGCACTCAGCCTGTTGACTATCTCTCAGGCCCCATATGGGATTGTTTTTGTTGTTTTAGGACCACACTGGTTGGTGCTCAAGGCTTAGTCTTGGCTCTGTGCTCAGGGATCACTCTTAGCAGTGCTCAGGGTTCCATATGTGGTTCCTGTGATTGAATCAGATCACCTGTGTGTAAGACAAGCGTCCTACCCACTGTTCTTATTTTTCTGGCTCTGGAATTTTTCAGATGAGTTAAATGATCATTTTCCTTATTTCTTTGAAAAAAAAATGCATGTAGATGGTTGGCAAACAAGATGTTTAATATATATAAAAGCAAGTATAATCTAATTTATTTTTCATTAACTTACTGAGATCAGCTATTGGATGCTAGAGATATAGTGAGTACATTCGTGTTCGTGTGTGTGTGTGTGTGTGTGTGTGTGTGTTGCCACACCTGGTGGTACTTGAGGCTACTCTCGGCTCTGTACATAGGGTCACTGCCAGTGGTAGCTAGGCTTGAACTGGGGTTGACTGAATGCAGGGAAAAATACCTTGTGTCCTGTCCTCTCTTTGGACCTGAGAGATACAGAGATTTAAAACAAATACAGTCTGTTTGCCTTGAAGACACTTGATCTAGGTGAGGGCAAAACTAAGAAGAGTGTAGGTAATTAGGACATAGTTTAATTAGTTCCTAGGTATAAAGGTAATTTTGGAGAATTCTCCACACTGAACTCAAATGGTATGGCTCATGAGTCATTAGGATGAGTAGGAATAGGAACAGGCCATTATAAAAAGACAGTAAAGGTATTCTGGGCAGTGAGAGCTACATTTTTAAAAGCACAGAACTTTCATTGTCCATTTTTGAAATCCCTCTGAAATGTATCCAGAGTGGATCTAGACAAGAAGCAGCTTATATGCCATGTTTCAGCATTTGGGAGCCATTGGAGGATTTTTGAACAGAGCAATGAAATAGATTAAGACTGTGTTTTAGAACCATGACTGACTTCTAGATAGAGTACTGTCAAGAAAGGGCTCAAAAGACCAGTAATCTAGTAAGAAGCCACTATAATACTGTGAGGAGAATATAATGGATATGGAATTATGAAAGTGCATTAGCATTAGTAAGGATAACTGGGATTGGGGTGTGGTTTTTATATTGAATGATGGTGCCATTTACTAGAATAAGAGAACATTAGAGGAGGAAGATGAGCTTTGTTTTACGGGTTTGCATAGGAAGAATAACAGCTGTTCTTTGAACTATAATGAAATGTGTGATATACAATGAGATAAGCATCTTTGACTTTAATAACTCTAAAAGATACAAGTAAAGATGGAAGGTTCTAGTGAAGTAAGCATAGTTAAACATTTGTTTATATGGAGGCCGATAAGTTTACCTAGTTTTAATCCCTGACACTTTTTTTTTTAAACTTTTTTATTGAATCACTGAGATAGACCCTTCCAAAGTCTTTGATGATTGGATTTCATTCATACAGTATTCTAACACCCATCCCTCCATCCTGTACGTTTTCTAGCACCAGTGTCCCCAAGTTCCCTCCCATCATCCACCACCCCCCACTCCCTGCCTGCCTCTATGTCAGGTGCTTCTCTCTCTCTCTCTCTCTCTCTCTCTCCCCCTCTCTCTCTCTCCCCCCCACCCCAACCCCCACCCCCACCCCTCATCTCTCTCCTCTCTCTCCATTTGTGCATTGTGACTTGCAATATTGATACTGAAAGGTTATCAAGAATATACCTTTACCTACTTTTTCTTCTTTTTTTTCCTTTTTTTTGGGGGGGGGGGGGTACATCCGGCAATGCACAGGGTTACTCCTGGCTCTGCACTCAGGAATTAATCCTGGCGGTGCTCAGGCGACCATATGAGATGCTGGGAATAGAATTCGGGTCAACCTTGTGCAAGGGAAACGCCCACCTGCTGTGCTATTGCTCCAACCCCTCTTTACCTATTTTATCATTCACTTCTTGTCCAGCATGATTTGTGGTTTGCAATATTGATGCTGAAATGTTATCAAGAATATCCCTTTACCTACTTTTAACACTTACTTCTTGTCCAGCATGATCATTCCCAGATATTATTGTTATTATTGTCTCTTCTCTATCTTACCTACCCTCAGCCCCACACACACTTGTGGTTAGATCTAACCACTGACCAGTCCTCCTAACTCCTGTTTTCCCAGGTTCCTGGTACTCTTTATGGTCCTCTGAGCCTTGCCTGCTGTGATCCCTGAACTCAGAGCCAGGAGTAAGCCCTGAGCACCACCAGTTGGCTTCCCTTTCAAAAAATATTCCAGCTTTATTTATCTGACCAGTAATGACTTATTTGGTTTGCTTTTTTTGCCACACCCAGCTGTGCTCAGGGCTTACTCCAGATTCTGTGCTCAGGGATCATTTCTGATGTGTTCTGGGGACCTGGTAGGTGCGAGCGACCAAACCCAGCTTAGTCACATACAAATCAAATATCTCACCCTTATACTATCTCTCCTTTAACAGTAGCAGTGAGGCAAGAGAAGACAAAGTAGACAGACTCGTTTTTAAGTAGTTTTCTGGCTGCCATGGTAAAAAGTCCATGTAAGGGATTTGTTATCCAGATCAGAGATGATGATAATGAGAAGGTATATGTGAGGATGACTTGATAACTGGAAGGTATATGTGAGGATGGAGAGAAGTAGAAAGATATAGAGGACTTTTCTATAACAATAGAGAAGTAGAACCTTGAAAGAAAAGGATTTTTCTTAGGAGTAAAAGAGGGAAAAGTCCCTGAGTGTTAATAAATCCAAGAAGGAAGAGGTTAAAAGGACAAATAACAATATAACAATGCTTCACAATGCATTTAATCATCATTATATAAAGTTGTAAGAAGCTACTAATTAGTTTCTATTACTTGTCACTCTACTAAGAATCTTTTACGTATGGTATTTTGTTTCTTCTCCCCCCCCCCCCCCCCCCCACTTTTTGGGTCACATCCGACAATGTACAGGGGTTAATCCTGTCTGTGCACTCAGGACTTACTTGTGGCGTTGCTCGGGCAACCATATGGGATGCTGGGAATCGAACCTGGGTCAGCTTCATGCAAGGCAAATGCCCGCTGTACTATCGCTCCAGCCCCAATTTGGTTTAATTCTTAATACAAATCTAAGAAGTTGGTATTTTTCTGTATTTTAAATGTCAAAATTGTGGTTCACAATAACATGAGTTTTGGTATCATTTAGGATTCTAGACTAAGTACAATTCCAAATCTCATTACTTGCTGTGTTTCCTCAAATGTTTCAAAGTGATATTGATGATTATTCATTACTTTAAAAACAGTTTTTGGAGGGAAGGAAAAAATTTCTTTGAATGTATACGTGAAATACGAGACCAGTGTGAGACATAAAAAAATATGAAAATGAGTCGTAGTCTTGAGGATAAATAGTAGTCGCTACTATGGTGCATTTGTTACTAATATGATAATAACTTGATAATAATGATAGTGATACAGTGATTATCTGCCAACACCAAATAATCTCATCGGCCACCCTCCAGAACTCACAGCTGCTTCTCCTGGATGGGAGCATAAAATGAGGCTCCCCTAACCATGCCACCGGACTCCACGCCAGGCTTTTTTCATCGGGGCACCCCAGAGTGGGGTGGGTGAGAGCCCTCCCTGTCCCAAGGGACCCAGCTCCACTGCCCAACTGCTGCAATACTCCAGGCCACTTTCATAAGATACTCTCTACCCATTTTTCATAATTACCACGCCATTTTTCTTGAGGTTCAGGCAGTGGGCAACAAATCATAGATATATATATATTTTTTCTCGATACATAATATATATATGCCTATATATATATAAAATGCCTATATATATGCCTATATATAATATATATATATATGCACCTGTTGGAGAGTTTAGCAAGCTACTGAGAGTGTCCTGCCACACAGGAAGAGCCTGGCAAGCTCCCTGTGGCATATTCGATATACCAAAACCAGTAACAATAAGAAGTCTCATTCCCTTGACCCTGAAAGAGCCTCCAGTCATTGAGAAAGATGAGTAAGGAGAGGCTGCTAAAATCTCAGGGCTGGGACGAATAGAGTAGAGCAGACGAATAGAGAATACTGGCGCCCACTTGAGTAAATTGATGAACAATGGGATAACAGTGATACAGTGATACCAAATGATAGTGAAACAAATGCTTTAAACCTCACCGTTCTTTGTATTTCATTTATGTTTTCATTACCACTAATGAAAATTTGCATGCTGCATATTTTCTTCAGCACAAACATTTTGTTTTCCTCTTTGCTTATGTAAATTGCCGTAGGATTTTCTGTTTTCTATTTTACTTATTTTTGGTAATTATTTTATTTTATTTATATTTTTGCTTTTTGGGTCACACCCCGCAATGCTCAGGGGTTACTCCTGGCTGTGCACTCAGGAATCTCTCCTGACAGTGTTTGGGGGACCAGATGGGGAGATCAAACCCAGGTTGGCCGCGTGCAAGGCAAATGTCCTACCTGCTGTACTATTGCTCTAGCCCCACTTTGGGTGATTATTTTTTAGTGTGATATATTTTTGCTTTACTTAATGACTTGTTCTTATACTTGTTAATTTTCCTTTAGGGATCGGATCAGGAGTCAGTTTTCAATTGAACAGCCAACATAAATTTAACATCCTGATATTATATTCAACTACCAGGTAATGAAACTTACTTGGTGGCCTAAATGAGACGTCAGTATAGGAATGTGTTAAGGGATGAAGCCTGTTTAATGTTTGTTACTTTTTTTTTTTTTTTTGTAGGAAGGAAAGAGATAGAGCAAGGGAAGAACAAACAAGTGCAGTTAACAAGATGTTTAGTTTACAGAATGAAGGAGATGATCAGCAAGGAAGCCGATACAGTGTCATTCCACAAATTCAGAAGGTGTGTGAAGTTGTAGATGGGTTCATCTACGTTGCAAATGCTGAGGCACATAAAAGTAAGCATTATCTTTTTATTTTTTAAGTTTTGATATTTGGGTCACACCTACCAGTACTTAGGACTTACTCCTGACTGTGAGCTTAGGGATCAGTCGTAGCAGTGCTTGGGAGATCCATATGTGGTGCTGGGTATTAAACTGGGGTTGGCCATGTGCAAGTGCTTTAAACCCAGTACTATCACTCTGGTCTTACATTTTTATTTAAAAGAACACTCTAAATGACGCAAAGCTATAAGAATCTACCTTTTAGGTCTTTACTATGGATTCTGAGAATGTTGGTCATTTTATCAGTGTGATTCTGTGAATGGAATTCTGATGCATATCAGTGTTTGATACAATAATGTTTGATGCAGTTATACATACACACAAACACATATAATTCTGTACTTTATGTCATTGATGTCTGCTTCTAGCTTATTCAGATAGTTCATGCAAATAACTGAACAATTTTTACCTTTTTCAAATTACCCAGAAAATAGATTTGTGGAGTAGAGTGTTTAAGTAATGATAATTACAGACTTTGTGCCAGGAAATCATATTAAAGCATTTAAACACATCTGAATGATACTACTGTGTTTACCCCCTAAAGGATTTTATCTAAGTTTCTATCCTTAAAAAGCTCCTGAACTTAATTTTATGACAGAACAGTAAATGAACTCAGCAATAAAAGGAAGTATTCTTTGGATCCTGTTAATTTGTGCTTTCCTTATTTTTTAAGTTTTGAATTTTGCATTCCTCAGGACACGAATGGCATGATGAGTTTTCTCGCATTATGGCAATGACAGATCCAGCTTTTGGATCTTCAGGAAGACCAATGCTGGTTTTATCTTGTATTTCTCAATCCAGTGTAAAAAGAATGCCCTGTTTTTATTTGGCTCATGAGCTGCGTCTGAATCATCTAAATCACCCATGGATGGTAGGTTCTATCTTTTTTTGATGAGAAATACATTGTTTTATTTTTCGCTATGTTTTCTATTTGATTTTATTTTCTATTTGTTACTGTTAGTAAAATAATATTCTAAACTTAGTTTTAATAACTTCTTCTGTAGGAGATAATTGACTGTTGTCAGTAGTCTTTCCTCCAGATCAGTCACTTCTTATTTGCCTCGCCTGTCCTGAAAATAGTAAGATAGTACTTGGGGAGTTGCCTTATATTTATAGGTGCCACTATCATGTGTGTTTTTTTTTTCCCCAGCATTGAAGTATTATGTATTAAGGGCTATCAAAATACATAGATTCATTTTAATAGTTTATTGTTTTCCAAATTTTATTTTACTCATGGAATTCTTTCCTCAAAGGAAGTTGAACAGAAAAACCCCGAGGTAAAAATAATAGAAAGAGAAATTGAAATTGGAGACGCTCAAGAGAAATTGAAATTGGAGACGCTCTTTTTTTACAGAAAAACTTTAAGAATTTTTTTTTTTCCTCCCATGTTCTCTTTCATGGAACCCTGGAGGGTCTTTGGAACACATTTTGAAAGCTACTAATGGGTGGATCTTCCTGAGTGCTGAGAGTTTTAACTTACCATTAGGAATGGCAGTCTTAAGAACAAAGTTTTGCAACAAGTTGTCACATTTATTAGCAGACTAGTTGGGTTCATTCAGAAATATTTTGGGTACCAGAGTGATTTGGAGGAACTTTCCACCCTTGTATATTTAAACAAATCAAATGAAATAGTAATTATTCAGGCATTCAGTATTCCAACACCTGTCCCACCACCTTCCGTTACCAGTGTCTCCAGTTTCCTGCTCACCCCTATGCCTGTTCCCTTAGCAGGCACAGTTTTACTTCATATTACTTGCTACAACAAAATGAAATTATAAAAAAATAGATCTGTAAAAGTCAATTTATTATCATATTTTCAAAGCAGAGTTCCAAGATGTATGAGAAATTGATAGCCCAATTGACACTTATTGTAGGATGAAAGTGAAGATCATATTTTTTAAAATCAAAGTTTCCTGGAAGACAAACGCCTGAGTGACTTCACTCAAGGTTGATTGGTTTTTACTGGTCGATCGATTTGTTTCTGGAAGCAGATCCTGAGACAGCTGCTTCCAGTTCAGTGCTTACGGGTCACTCCCAATAGTGCTTGAGAGGGACTATATGGTTTGGCAAATCAAACCTCAACCTGGCACACACTCTGCCTGTGAGCTATCTCTCGGTGGGGATTTTTTTAGTTTTAGTATTTTTTTGTTTTGTTTTGCCTTTTGGGGTCACTCCCGGCGATGCTCATGGGTTACTCCTGGCTCTGTATGCAGGAATTACCCCTGGCGGTGCTGGGGGGACCATCTGGGATGCTGGGGACCAAACCTGGTTCGGCCGCGTACAAGGCAAACGCCCTACCCACTGTGCTATAGCTCCAGCCCCTTATTTTGTTTTTTTAAAGTGTCTATAAAAGGTACTTTATTATCATAAGCTTTGGGGTTAGCTTTTTTTTGATAATTTATTTATTTATTAGGGCTGGAGCGATAGCACAGCGGTAAGGGTGTTGGCCTTACAGGCGGCCAACATGGCCGACCCGAGTTCGATTCCTCCACCCCCTCGGAGAGCCCGGCAAGCTACCGAGAGTATTCGATATGCCAGACACAGTAACAACAAAGTCTCCAATGGAGACGTTACTGGGCCCGCTCGAGCAAATCGACGATCAACGGGAGGGCCTTTACCTTTTACCTTTACCTTTATTTATTGAATCGCTGTGGGAAAAGTTACAAAGCTTTCAGGTTTAGGTCTCGGTCATGCAAATATCAATCACATTTCCCTTTACCAATACTTATTTTTCACCACGAAGAACACCAGTAAACCTACCCCCAACCCCCCACCCCCAATGCCCTGTGAGGCAGATGAATTCTAGTTAACACTCTATCTACTTTGACTAGCTTCATTGTTTCGATAAAAGTTGCACCATTATTATTTAGAGTTTAAACCCCCCCCCCCCCCCCCCCAAATCAGCCATGCTGACAAAGCATTGTGAAATGATTTGCTTTCTACAGCTGGGTTCAAGAATTAAATATGTTTTGGATTTCTTCTATTTTACTTATTAACCCTGGAAGTATTTCTACTGAGAGTCAGATAATTAAGAGATTGGTTTCTATGCTCTGGGGCCATGGCCGTGCCAGAGAACCGCTCGTGAGGGGCAACTGGTGACCTCCGTAAGGCGTGAAGGTTTGGGGTTAGCTTTACTGAAAATAATCTTTCTTATCTGCTCCTAGGTGCAGGATACAGAGGCTGAAACACTAACAGGTTTTCTGAATGGAATTCAGTGGCTTCTTGAAGAAGTAGAATCTAAGTCAGCAAGATGACCCCTTTTTTTTTCCTTTTAGACCTTGGGAACTGAAACCAGATGAAACTTGTTACTAAGGTCACATTGCTCTATCAGCTCATTTTGTCCTGACTTTTTTGCAGGTGGGCTTTGTATTGGACAGTGATAGTTACTGTATGTGATTTTTTAAAAAATACATATGTGTATACATATGATTCTTTCACCTTTAATCAATTACAAGAAAAAATGTTTCAGAACTAGCTAGCATTTATCCCTGAAATGAACCTTTTTTTGATAATTTTTATATTTTCTTTTTAAAAATATTAAATTCCAAAAAGTACAAGTGTGGACTTCTTTTCATTTCTTGTAATTTCTTTTCTAATATTGCCCTTGTGGGGAATGGTAAATTTTCTAAGCTTTCAATCGGTCTTTCTATGGGTTGTTATAGGAAAAGAAACTTTTATCTTTTTTAATGAACACCCTACTTACTTGTTGAAATTGCATTTAATAATGGCCATGCAACTTCTTTTTCTTTCTGTAATAAAACAATTTAATATATTTATTACTAGTTCAATGAAAATGACTTTTTTGTTTTTGTTTTTGGGTCATACCAGCTGTTACTCCGGGTTCATGCACTCAGGAATTACTCCTGGTGGTGCTCAGGGGACCATATGGGATGCTGGGAATCAAACCCGGGCCAGCTGCATGCATGGCAAACACCCTACCCGCTGTGTTACCGCTCCAGCCCTGAAAATGACTTTTCCTGGAAGTTCTTGTTATTTTCAAATAACTGAACCCTCATAGTACCTAAAGTCAAATTTGATGGTACAATCATAGAACATTGCAGAGATTTCTATGACCATGACCACCTCCCACCAATTTACTTTTATACTCTGTAAGGAATTGTTAACAATTCACCTATCTCATTGGTAATGAGATTATAATCTTAAAATAAATTTATAAGATATAATCCTTAAGACATATAAACTTAAAGGTGATAAACGATTTAATATTCACTCACTGTATCACTGTCCTCCTGTTGTTCATTGATTTGCTTGAGCGGGCCCAGTAACATTGTGAGACTTGTTACTGTGTTTGGCATATCGAATACATGCCAGGCTTTGCCGTGCGGGCGAGATACTCTCGGTAGCTTGCGGGGCTCTCCGAGAGGGGCGGAGAAATCGAATTCGGGTTGGCCATGTTGGCCGCTTGCAAGGCAAATGCCCTACCTGCTGTGCTATCGCTCCAGCCCGATTTAATATTATAGTAATATTTGTAGTAAAACAGTCATAGACTAAGATAATATCCTTAGTATTGCTGCACTGAGATGTAGCCTCTATTCCATTAAAGGGTGCTATTCCCAGGACGGAGTGTCACCTCTCAGGACCAAATATCCTGAATTTAGCTTCAGCAATGTGCAATTGGGGCCAGAATGAAATGCTCCCATTTTGCTTCAGGAGACTGATAGCCATCCTTCTCACTTGAGCCCTCTGTCCTGTTACCTTGTCTGCTTTAAGCTTGATTAAATTTCCCTCTTGATGAGGCAGAGTAGGGCTTAGGTAAGTAGGGACTGTGGTCCTAATCACATTGACCTTTGTTCTTACTGAGTTTTAGTAGATCTTTTTTAAAAAAACAAACAAACATTTTTTTGTTTGCTCTATACTCATGGAGCCATTTGCAGAGATTTCAAGTGGTTGTTTCCCCTCAATTTCTCTGGGAAGGCATTCTCTACTGTTATGCATAATGGTATTTGGTATTTGGCCAGCTGTGCCAGGAAGCTCAATACTAAGTAGCTCTAGGAATCAAAGTGGCTTGGACCCAGTGAGCACCAGGACCACCTCAGTGGAGTTCAGGACCTCAGTGCTACATCCTAACACTGTGGGCAGGGAGTGGGTGAGTGGGATGTAATAATGCCAGCGCCAACCTCGGAACAGCACATGCAGAACATGGACCCAGACCACTGAATTATTTCCCCAGCCCACATGCATTTGTTAATATTTATTTCCTGTTTTGATCTATCTATCCATGGATCTATATTATGGCCTATGGACAAGTTTTGTTGTTTTTCCTGTAAGAAAACATTAAACTGTAGCTTTAGTTTTTTGTCAAATGATGTTGAAAACGAATGCTTTTACAATACTGGAGAATTTGACGGTGTGTTCCTAGATTTCCAGGAGGTGGTGCTGTAGCTACATGCACAAAGCAAGTTTGTAACCAAAAATCGCTGTTAATGATTTTGACTAGATTGGATTTTTCCAGTGTGTGTGTGTGTGTGTGTGTGTGTGTATGTGTGTAAGAGAGAGATACTTATAATTTTGACTAGATTGGATTTTTCCTGTGTGTGTGTGTGTGTGTGTGAGAGAGAGAGAGAGAGAGAGAGAGAGAGAGAGAGAGAGAGAGATAATTTTGACTAGATTGGATTTTTTCCTGTGTGTGTGTATGTGTGTGTGAGAGACAGACAGAGAGAGAGAGAGAGAAAGAGAGAGAGAGCACTATTTATAATCTTGACTAAATTGGATTATCAGATTTTTACGTGTGTGTCTGTGTGTATGTGTGTGTGAGAGAGAGCTATTTAATTTTTACCAGATTATTGGATTTTTACCCATGTATGTGTCTGTGTGTCTGTATGTCTGTATGTGTATTTCTGTATGTGTGTTGGCCACACCAGTCAGTGTTCAGGTCTGTTCCCTTCTCAGTGCAAACTCAGGCCTCCTACATGCAAGGCAGGTGTTCAGCCCTCTGAGGTCTCTCTGGAATCTTAAACTTTTTATTTGAATCATCTGGAGAGCTTTAAAATTCTTAGTATCTTTCAAATATTTCAAGTAACATTATTTAGGGCCAGACCACAAGTGTGACAATTACAACAAAATAATCTGAGGGTGGGCCCTAGGCTTCAGAACTTTTTTTTTTTCCAGTTCTCTTCATTTAATATTCAAATCTCCCAGGGTCCACGTCAGGGGACCTAAGTGCCACTGGGCAGGGGCCATTGGATGCGAAGGCTGCAGGATGCCAAGTGCTCTGGCCCTGCTTGCTTGGGAGTAGCTGGGTCGCTCACCAGTGCCGGGGGATTCCAGGGCTTCACCCAGTGGTGTTTGTTTATCTCAGCCTGAACATTCAGGAATGTATTAAAAGGCAAAGCACATTTATTTGAGATAAAAAAAAAACAAATTTATTTGAGATCAAAGAATCACAAGTGGTTAAAGGAAAGAGTTGGACCAGGGACATAGTTTCAGGGCTGAAGTGGATGCTTTGCATCAGGAACCATGATTACATTGCTGGTGCCACATGATCTCACACCTCCCAGCACCTACTGGTGTGGTTTAAATACCACCCCCTCTCCCTCCCGCCACCCCAGGCTGGGGGGCTTATTAATGTTAACAAGCTTAAGCTATTTGTGTTGTGGGGGGCAATGAGGTCACACTTGGTGCCCAGGGCTTACTCCTGGCTCTGCTCAGGGGACCCTCTGTGGTACTGGGGATTGAATCGGCTCAGCCTTGTGCCAGGCAAATCCCCTAATGCCTGTTTTTTTCTCTCCAGGCCCTTAACTGTTCTTGACTATGCATAATGATTGTCAGTTCTCTGACAAGTCCACGCTCATTAATTCTTATGATCCAGACAACTTCTCAGTCAGTGGTTTGCTTGATGTGTACCTAAGCAATTGCTTTATTAGTCTAGTACAAAGGTTTTTGACGTATTTGACGAGACAAGCAATAGTTTCTCTGCCATGGCTTCATTTAAAACTTGTTCCACAGATGTTACCGTTTTCACTGAAAAAAATAAACTTGTTTCTAAGACATTACTTAACTAGGTGTTCTAGTTTATATGCATGAATATTTGTAAACTGCCTTATGATTTTAAAATAAGTCTATTGTAACAATAAATTACTCTGTCATATTTTATTTTGGTTTGTTTTTATGTTGGGCAAAACTGTGTTGCTCAGGGTTTCCTCCTGGCTCTGTGCTCAGGAATAAATCCAGGCAGGGCTTGAGAGACCGTGAGGGATGCTGGGAATTGACTCCAGGTCAAGGCAAATGCCCTACCACTGGTTCCAATCATTTTATTTTGGATCTGTCATTTTGAGGGAGTTGTCACTGGAACTTAAGTGCTGCACAAGGCTGAACATGTGAAGCTGCGAATCAAATCTACGACCCCTACATGAAAAGTACATTCTTAGGCCTGTTGAGCCCTCTCTCTCTCTTGAGTGTAGTAGGACTACTAGTGCATTGTTTATACTATTATGCTTATTTGGACTTAAATATTAATTCTATCTTAACACATCAGTTCTAAACACCTGGAGGAAAAAAAGTGCTGAACAATAACAGGCTTGACTCTAAATTCGGTTGACAGTGAGTGAATATCAAATTGGGACTGGGCTGGGGATATGGTATTGGACCATACCTATTGGTGCTCAGATCTATTCCTGGTGCACTGACAATGCTTGGGGACCGTATGCAGTGTTGGGGATTGAACCAAGGTTGGCTATGTGAGGTCATGCAAGCAAAATGTCTAACCCCTGCACTATCTTTCTTGGTCCTGCTTAAAAGTTTTTAAACACCCATTCATTTCCTTACCTTCTTTTCAAAATTCTCTCTATTGCCTATCTACCGCTGGGTGACCCTTCTTTACCTCTTTCTCAAATTTTTTTATCTTGTCCATTTTCATATTTGCTTATGTTATTTATTATAATCTCAGTCTAAGTTTTTTTCCTTGGATATCCTCTAATCCCTAAGGAGAACTTTTTTCCTTCAGTTTAATTTTCTGAGTTCAGTCAACTCACTTTCCATCCTTTTTGTTTTTCCTATTTTGCTCTTCTAAATATATCCTATTGATATATTGATCCTATTGATATATTGATATCCTATTAATATATATTGATATATTTATCAATATCAATATCAACCTGCAGATGCTTGTTTTCATCATTGAAAATGTTATGGGGGGCTGGAGCGATAGCCCAACGGGTAGGGCATTTGCCTTGCATGCAGCCAACATGGCCGACCTGGGTTCAATTCCCAGCATCCCATATGGTCCCCGAGCACCACCAGGAGTGACTCCTGAGTGCATGAGCCAGGAGTAACCCCTGAGCATCGCTGGGTGTGACCAAAACAGCAAAAAAAAAAAAAAAAAGAAAAGAAAATGTTCTGATTTTGTTCTACTATAGAAACTGTGTGATGCTGTCTCATAATTTTGGAATGTCCTCTGTTTCTTTGGCCAACAATATAGTAGATATATAGAAAAATAGTAGTTTGTGGCATACTAGTTTTTTTAGTTTAAACGCCCTCTGTTGTTTTAATGCTCAACTTTTTAATGTCAACATTCTCTGGTGGATAGAGAAAGGATAACAACCTTC